AGGGAGGGGCAGGGGTGACCGGGGCCCACCCCCACATTGAGCCCAGGAGCCAGAGGTATAGGGGCTCTGAGGCTCCCCTAGCCTGCCCCTCCTCTTACTCCAGGACGGGAAACTGAGGCTCGGATGGAGAGAGGACTTGCCCGGGGCCACAGGGGGCCAGGCTCACCCCAGGACTCCTGCCAGTGCTCCCTCCACCTGATGCACAACACCCACCCCGCCCCCCCCACCCCACCCAACATGGCCCCTGGGAGCCTCCCAGCCTCTAAGGAGGGCGTGGCAGCTGGCCCTGCCCTGTGCCTCTGGCCTCCCTCCTGCCCTTCCCACCACTCAAACCTGGGCTGGAATAATCTCTTTACTCCAAGGTCAGCTAATAGGATGCACTTCCTTTTTTTTTTTTCTTTAAATTTTTTATTGTTATGTTAATCACCACACATTACATCATTAGTTTTGGAGGTAGTGTTCCACGATTCATTGTCTGTGCATAACACTCAGTGCTCCACGCAGAACGAGGATGCACTTCCTTTTTAAAAAAAATGCTCTTGCAGTAGAAACATAATCACACAGAGAAAGGGAGACAACTCAGCCAAATGCCACGCTTCTCTACCTGTCACTCTCCCATTTGGGGCTATTTCCCCCCATCTTGTTTCCTGCTCCATCAGGACCACACGACACCCATCTGACCGTCCTGGGGGAACAGTTCAGTCACTGACCAAATGAATTCCAGCCCCTACTCATCCTGGGGATCGAGGCAGAACGCTGCCCAGTGCTCTGGCGGGGGGCAAATAGGGGATTGCCACTTGCGTGGTGGCTGACCTTGTGTGACGCCCTGCTCCCTTCGATCCCCAGGGGCCCCGAGAGGGGCCCGTCGTCCCCGCCCAGCAACTCAATTTCACAAGGACTGTGTGTCTCTGTGGTTTTGGTAGGAAGATATCCAGGCTGCTGGAGTGATGTGTTAGCAGAGAGACAGGAACTGCAGTTTTGACTGGGGACATACCCTTTTATATCCTACTTGGAAATTTAATATCAGGGCATAAGGACCTCAAGTGGGGGAGACAGCGTTTGCAACCGTCCTTTTACGAGGCTGCATAATATTCCCAGTCGAGCCCCTCTCCGTGGTCTGTTCCTAGATGCTGCCAGGGCTCCGGAGCCCCACCCAGTCCCGGGGCTTCGCTTCTTTCTGAGCCGCCCTTCTTAGAAAGAACCCTGTATGTAACATCTTAGGACCGTTCTCTGGAAAGGTTTTTACTCAGAGAAGGGAAGTGACAAACCTACAGACACAGACCGCGCAGAGTTCCAGTTTCAGAAGCAGACTGACGAGCTGGGCTGCGTGGCGTGGCCTTGGGGGATGTAGTGTGAGCTGGCGCTACCGTCGGTCCTGCTGGGTGTCACGGAGGATCCTCCATCTTTATTTGTTAATTTTAGAGCACAAGAGGGGGGAGGAGCAGGGGGGGAGAGGGACAAGCACATGAGGCTCGATCTCACGATCCTGACATCAGAACCTGAGCCAAAACCAAGAGTCAGACCCTCAACCACCTGCGCCACCGAGGCGCCCCACGTGGGATTCTCCTTAAGCACAACGTGTCCGAACTTGGAGAAAACAACCCACTGAGGTCACACCAGTAGACAGAGGGAGGAGCTGAGAGCGAAAGCAAGAGTAACGACACCGATAATAAAGTAGTCTCTGCCGTGGCGGTGTGTGCGGGGGACTCTGCCAAGTGCTCGGCATGGGTTATTTTTAAATTAATGTGTTTTATTGAAATACGGCCTGCCTATGGAACAGTGCGCCACTCCAGCGCATGCAGGTGGCTGGGTTGTCTCAAAGAGCTCACACCTGCACTGCAGCTGCCCAGAATCAGAGCTAGATCCCCTGCCCCCAGGAGCCCTCCTCACAGCCACCCCCACCCAGCCCCCTTCTCCCCACCCCGCCCCGCGGGGAGCCACTTCTTCACCTCGAACTCCATGCATCAGCTTTACCTGTTTCTGAACTTGATAGGAATGGGATCCTAGCATCCTTCCATAGATTAGGATTTAGTCCTGGGAGGTAGGACTGGTGGCTGACTCTCACCTGCCGCTCACTACCTGGCAGGTTCTGTTTCACACCACCGTCTGACCCTCTCAACAACCACAGGAAATAGTTCCATCACCGCCATCATCCCCATTGCACAAATGAGGAAACTGAGGCACAGAGCGTTTCAGGCACATAGCTCCCCAGCAGCAGAGCCAGGATTTGAACCCAGGCCACCACACCCTCACCCCCACCCTGATGAGGTACCCGAATTAGCTCCGTTTTACACACGAGGAGCTGGAGGCTCTGAGGGGTAAACCGAGTCCCACGGCAGGGGGAGGCAGAGCCACAGTCCAGCCCCAGGGCCCGCCGCCACTGGCCTGGTCACCCCTGTCACACCGGATCAGCCCCACACCCTGGTCTGCTCTCTGACACCCTCCTCCCCCCCCCGCCTCACCCCCCGCCATCCTTCCCTTCAGAGGTCTTCGGAACAGCCGGGCCACGGCTGGGGACATCGCTCACTACTACAGGGACTACGTGACCAAGAAGGGCCTGGGCCACAACTTTGTGTCGGGCGCCGTGGTCACGGCCGTGGAGCGGGGGACACCCGCGTCCAGCGGCTCCGGGGTCCAGGACCCCGGCCCCCTCTTCCAGGTGAGCGGCTTCCTGACCACCCAGGACCAGAGCCGGCAGCCCTTCTCCCTGTGCGCCCGCAACGTGGTCCTGGCCACGGGCACGTCGGACAGCCCGGCCCGGCTGGGCATCCCCGGGGAGGCCCTGCCTTTCGTCCACTACGAGCTTTCGGCCCTAGAGGCGGCCAGGCGGGCGGGCACGGTGAGCCCGGCCTCGGACCCCGTCCTTATCGTGGGCGCGGGGCTGTCGGCCGCCGACGCCGTTCTCTATGCCCGCCACTACAACATCCCAGTGGTCCACGCCTTCCGCCGGCCCGTGCACGACCCTGGCCTGGTCTTCAACCAGCTGCCCAAGATGCTGTACCCCGAGTACCACAAGGTGCACCAGATGATGCGGGAACAGTCCATCCTGTCGCCCAGCCCCTACGAGGGCTACCGCAGCCTCCCCGAGCACCGGTTGCTGCTCCTCAAGGAGGACCGCCAGGCCGTGTTCCAGGACCCTGAGGGCCTCCAGAAGGTCTTCGGCGTGGCCCTGGTGCTGGTGCTCATCGGCTCCCACCCCGACCTCTCCTTCCTCCCCGGGGCAGGTGCGAACCTGGCCATGGACCCCGACCAGCCCCTGAGCGCCAAAAGGAACCCCATCGATGTGGACCCTTTCACTTACCAGAGCACCCACCAGGAGGGTCTGTACGCTGTGGGGCCACTGGTGGGGGACAATTTTGTGCGGTTCGTGCAGGGTGGGGCCCTGGCGGTGGCCAGCTCCCTGCTGAGGAAGGAGGCCAGGCAGCCACCCTAGCACCTGGCCTGGCCTCCTCGTACCCAGGCCCTAAAGAGGAAGGGAGATTCCTACAGCCCCACTGGACACCCCAGTGAGGGAAGGGGGCCTCTCCTGGCAGGAGACAGGAGGGGCCGTGAGCCCAGGCAACAGGCCTCTCGGGTGAAGAGGAGTGGGGAACCCAGGCTGCCTGGGCTGGGACTAGTGCCCAGAGTGGGAACAGAGGCTGCCGGCCAGGGTAGGCTGTGATTTGGGGTGAAAGCTGCTGGCATGAATTGGGGTTACCAGGGCCAGCTGAGCACTGAGCCAAGAGGACACCAGGCCCTGCTCCTTCCAGAATCAGGTCCTAATTAAACCCAGTGCCTGCCTCCACTCATGTGTCTGAGGATTCTGTGCGTGGGGAGGGGGCTGGGTGCCTGGGGCCGGGGGGGGGGGGGGGGGGGGAGAAGCACAGGGCCATGTGGGAGGTGGGATATGCTGCAAGTCCGGGCACAGCTGTGTTAGGAAAGTGAGGGGAGGGGGTGTGGGGGGGAATGGTAGGCTGGGGAGGCTTTCACAGCCCCTGCCCACCCCTCCAGCCTAGTCCCTGCCCCTCTCCCGCGCTCCCTCCCAGCCATGCTGTCTCTTTTGAGGCCCTCATGCTCCCCATCCTTGCACCTGCCACAGGGCCTTTGCAGGGGCTGGTCTCCTGCCCAGTCCTTCCACTCTCTCAACCTAAGGATCACTTCCTCCAGGCGGCCACCTCTGACACGAGCCCCTCCATAGCCACCAGGGCAATCCCCTGTTCGTGGCCCAAGTTTCATGGCAGTTCAGTATTAATGGTTCATGTATCTGTGGAATCACTCCAGGATCTGCTCACTTGGATCTAGGTTCCAGGAGGCCAAGGACACACACACCCCCACCCCGCCCCCATTAGTGCAACCCAGCGCCTAGCACGGGCCTTAAGTCCTTTGGACAGATGAATGATGGGTGGATGGGGTGTGAGGGGAAGAGGGTGTTCTGGGGCACCAGTCTGGGCGCTGTGCTGTGGGAGGGGAAGGTTTGAGGGGGCACGCAGGCCCCCGGGAGTGGTGGGGGAGGCCCAGCGCGTGGGCACTGGTCCCCGGAGCTGCAGCCAGCAGAGGGCGCTCCGGGCTCGCCGGACACCTGCGCTCCGGCCCTTGCGCCGGCGCCACGGGTGGGGTGGGGGAACCTTCGGGAGGGGGGCAGCGGGAGACTTTCGGGGGGGGCCCCCAGGGAGCCCCCGGCTGCTCAGCCGGACGCCCACCGACCCCATGCCTCCTGGGCAGCCCCTTCCGTGGCCGGGCTGGGGTCCAGCCCCCAGCACCGCGCGTCCCCCGCGGTTAGACCCCTGCCGCCGCGCCCGG